TAATTTTAATGGGTTTCAGAAATAATTAGAAGTTGGCTTTAGTTGCAGTCTGTCAAAAATGTATGTATATTTTTGAATCACTAGACAAGTTAAAAATTCGATTTAGAAGATATGCAAATAAGAAAATTAATTGATCATATTATGTATCAAATAACAGCTCCAAACAGCTCCAAACAGCTCCAAACAGCTCTTTCAATCATCGACACGTGTTGTTTTTGGTCAACTGTCAGCAAACATGACACCCACTTCGATAAGAGACTTTTCATAGACAATTACTTGTGCAAACTTAAGCCGATCTTCTGTAGCTCTACTTTACGATCTGCCGAAACGATTTTATGGACTTTTTTGATGTTTTCCGGTGTCACCACCTCTTTCGGACGACCACGATGTTCGGTATTATCAAATTTTGTACGACCGCGTTTAAAGTCACATCTCTACCATTTATTTTGATGGAATAGAGTCTGAGTAGCACTTAACAAGTCAAGCTTTTATTGTCACGGTATTTTTTCTCTTTAAAAACCAATGATAACTCGCCCCACTCCAACAACTGAAATTTGAAAATATTCAATATCAATTAGAAGTTTTCACTTTTAGGTTTTTCATTTGCCATCATAAATTGGCTGTAAATAGTCTTACCATAACTATTTATTTTTAAATGTCTTGTTTAATATGAACTCCAGCTGATTGGAATATAGCTAACTATCATGTCGAAAACTGATACTGACAACAACTGATCTGGGAAGTCGTGTTAAACAAAATATAAATGAAAACAAGCTTTTAATATAAATAGAATTTTTGAACAACTAAAAATGAGAACGTTCAAATTAATTTCAAAACTTAAATGTAATTAAACGCCTAATATGGATTATCATTACACAATTCAGAATTCCGCATAGTTTGTACAAAATTGTTTATTTTGCGTAAATAAAATATAATGCATTTGAATTAGTAAATAAATTTATGGAAATGACTGAAATCATTGAAATAAAATTTTATGTTTTATAAATTTACTGTTTTTGTTTAAGAAAATTATTTGAATTATAAACTTTAATTAAAAATTGTCTGTTCAAGTTTCAGTAACTACTTGTGTATTATTAAAGTTAAATAATGTAGATTAAGACAAAATTCCTTGAACTACAGCTGCTAGGCATATTTACTTACAATTAATAAATGTATGATATTTAATCAAAATTAATTAAGTAATTAATTAAAAGTTCAATTAAATTTTTGCAAGCTTATCGAGCAGATTAAAGCGTTAAATTGTTAATAGACAGTAGTACCTTTTGCATCTTAATTTTAAAACACTGAATTTGTAAGAATATAGTTTGTAAAATTTTATTGTTTAAATCACGAATTTACATTCACTAATTTTATGCCATGCGATATACTTGTAAAAACATTTTTAATTAAGATTTGTGATTAAAGAAATTAGAATTAAAGAACTTTTTTATCATAAGAAAAATATTGTAATAATGTAATAATTCGATATTGTTATTTGTTCCACTGTGCAATTAGGTTTTGATATGATATGCCGCCTAATTTTTTATTTTAAAAACAAGAAGAGCAGGAAACAATGAGCGCATGTCCAGGTATGCCCATGGAGCAAAATATGACTTTCAATGGGAAACATAACTGAATGCCTAAGTTTAGGGGGATAATGTGGCGTCTAGAGAGATAATTTGTTTATGAATTTTATGTTCTCTACAAGTGAGAAATCTAACGCATGGTTTTAGCTTTCAATCAAATGTTTCACAAACAAACAAAACTTAAAAAAAGTTTGCTTTCAGTACAGGAACTGTTTGGAAAAGAAACATAGCGGGTGAAACACAAAAGCTGTTCAAATTGAATTTTAACATTTAGACCGTGTGCGAGTTCGAGTAGATTGAGGTAAAGTAAATTGAAATTTCCTAGGGATTTTTTGCGCGGCACTTATGTAAATATTTATTTATTTATTTATTGCACTTATTTATTATTTATTAAATATCTTATAAAATTTTCACAATAGTAACTCCTAATTTATCTAATTTTTATCTAATTTACCCTACTCAAAACTCTAGTCAATATCAACATTCGCTGCCATACCGACCTAATTTACCATTTTCCTCAATTTACCATCAATTTACTCGAACTCGAACTCGAACACGGCCTTAAATTTAAACCAAAAAAATATAAAACCAAAAATAAAAAAATGACTTTTTTTAGTAAGTCGATATTAAGATAATATTTAAAACACGAAAAATTTTAAAAAATTGTTAAAATTAATTAATTTATAAAAATAATTACAACAACATAAAATATTACAAGAAATATATATATATTTATTTAATATAAATTCAAAAATAATATCAATTCTGTATATTATGGAAAAATATTTGTTTATTTGGCAATATCGGCCTCAGTTATAAGTTCAGTTTGTTCTCCTTCCAATGGTTGTTCAACAAGTTCCACTTGATTATCTCTTCTAACTTGACCATCGCATATAACTATGGTATCACGATCTAAAAGTGGGCGTGGTGTTATTGGTAAATACGTATTGCAATATGTGCGAATGGCATCACATTCTCCAACTCTGCTTATCAGCACAAACACACAATATTGTATAATATCCTTGGGTGTGTTATCGATATATTGAAAAGCTATATTCACCTCCTCGGCATTCTCATATAAGATACGATTACCATGTACACTGTTGAAAAGAATTTATCATAACATATACCATATATGATCTTTATAAGAATTTCAATACTTAGTTGGCGTTCCAGTTATCTTACGTTCGACCTCTTCATTCTTGCTTAGGGCATAAAGAAGTTTCTCATTAGCTTCTTCAGGTGAAAGCTGTGAAAAAGATACGTTGACAGCTATTAAAAGGTTTTCATTTAATAAAAATATGTAAAAATAATATAAAATCAATATTCTTAATATTATGTTAATTATTCTTAGAGCTTAATATATTTTATAATCTTGTGAGAATTCTCTCTCTATCTCTGAGTTTGATTTAATATTTTTGAACAGATATAAGAGAGACAATAGTAATGGACCCAGATTTTATATATCGTGGCATACCGAAGCAAAGTAATCTGTTCTTATATATTATCTAATCTGTTAGCATAATTAAAATGCGCGACCACCTTCCTTTAGAATTGACATCCTTAACGGAGAGAACTTATATTGTACTGGATTGTTTTTGCAAATGGTGTTTGGTTGGTTGCAGTGGCAGGTCATAAGATAAGATGTACCGCAATTAGCGATTTTTCGCCGTTTTGTTACCACATTCCTCGCAAGAACCCTAGTATAGAAGAGTAGAGACTAAATCCATCCCACTGAATTTAGGTAATTTAATAGGTCTTTCATCTTCACCATTGAGCAGTCTGATAAACTATCACAAAAGTACTTTCCTAAGAACCTATATCTTCTGGATGCTAGAGCTGGGCATTCACACAGAAAATGTATTATTGTTTCTTTCTCCTGCGGGTTTCTACAACTTCTGCAGTGAGAGTTATAGGGAATACGCAGTTTCTCTGCGTGAGTTCCTATACACCAATGACCAGTAAGAACTGCAATAAGCCTTGCAGTGTTTACGCGATCTCTTTTGATCAGTTCCAGGGATTTATTTTTATTATAGGTGGGCCACGTTAACCTGGAAGTTGCACATGACCTCGTATAAATTCGTTTCGTTATAACACATTGGAAAATACGTTTCGTATAATTTGGTTTCGATATAACATAATACAATACGTGTTTCGTTTAACACGGTTTTTTGACACATTTTATCTGAGCTTAAATTATTATATTTTAATTTAAATAAGAGAAGTTTCGAAAAGTAGTGAACTACAACCCTTGGTACTTACAGTCCCAAAAATTTATATACGAATATTAAAATTTAACAAATAATTCCAGGACCACAGATAATGGGTATTTGGAATTACTCGAAACATATGTATGGTCAGTCAAAAATTCAATTAATTAAATATATAAATATAAAAAAGAATTTTTGTTGTTGTAGTTCACTACTTTCTGAAAGCTCTTTAACAAAATACAATAGATTCTATTAAGTAAAGTTGCCAATACTGTCACAAG